GGATTTCTAGGTTTGGAGTGTTTCTTCAGTTACATTTCGCTCAAGGAAGAAATTGTGCATCAGCTGTAATAAAAAAGCTCTGCAAGCTACTCAGCATTGACAAAAGACAGATGACACCTTTGCATTCCCAGTCAGATGGCATGATGGAGAAGTTTAATCGAACCATCCTTAATAAGCTCTAGGTTGTTTCCAGAAACCAACAAAACTGGAAAAGAAGTTAACTTTATTTTTACTGGCTTGTCGCAGTGCTGTACAGGAGGTTACCAGCTATTCCCCATCTCAGATGCTCTTCAGTCATTACCTTGGTCTGCCTTATGGTCTCTTGTTCGGTCGTCCTCCGGATGTGCCTTCACGGCCTGAAGAGTACATCCAAGATCTCCAGGTGCAGTTTGAAGTCATGCACCGTTTTGCAAGAGTTACAAGTCAACTTGACAACAGAGAAGACGAAGACCCGATAACAAAGGAAACAAGCCGTCATTGTGGAACCCGATTCGACCTCAAGGACTCTCTCCAAAACTAAGTCACCTTGGGATGATCCTTAGACAATTGTAAACTGGTTGAATGATGTCAGAGTTCAGATTCATAAATCATCAAATAATAAGCCTAAAGCCATTGATTATGATAGGCTAGCCTTTACTATGGCAATAGAACATAATGTACATAATGTAAATAATTTAAGACCATGGTCTTATTTCTTTCTAAATTTGTAAATTTGTGCACTCATTTATTTATTGATGTAGTATTTGATTTGGTTTATGTTATGTATTACATTGATGCCTTAGTTCTGTATGGCTTCCTGTCCAAGGATTGTACTGCCCAGGATATGCAGTTCTTGCAAAGGAGGCTGTATTATGAATTTTGTATTTAAATAGCTAGTAGAATTATTGTATTTTCCCATGCAATGCAGCGCAAGGCACATTTTTAAAAGAAAGCTATACCAGAAAAGTAAGAATACAAGGGCACGTGCATTTAATAAATTGATATCTCAAAAATTGCTATTGAAATTGAATAAATGTAGTTGACCACTATGTTAGCCATAACCGTAGTTCATACTCTTATTGCTTTCCAGTAATTTCGAGAAACAGAAAGTACTAGAAATATCTTTGCAACCAGTTGAAAGCTATACAAGTTGCTTGTTACTTAATTATTGTTGTTCAGTTGCTTAGTTATTGTTGCGAGTCGTTTAGTTCCGCGTAAACTGTGATATTTGAGTAAGCTTTCTCTTTAGATGTGCTTTGCTTTATGTTGTATTTAACATTTTTAGTAATTTGAAGTATAACTGCTGATTATACTGCTTGATACTGTGAACACTTGTAGGAAAATTCCAGAGTTTTGATACATTTATTTTGATAAGAATAAATTTTATTAACCTATTATCAGACTTGTGTGTTTAATCTATTAAGAACCTGTATGCATGCAACAATAAGATTTGTGTTCTTTGACATGAAATGGGAAAGATTTATAACAAATCCCACTGACAAGATATGCTATAATTTCTCAAAAATGAAAATTAGATATGGGATCTTTTTAATAGTCAAAAAGCAAATTTTACCAATAGTTGAGAAAATGACCTGAAAGTTGAACTTCAGAAGAATCCAAGTGATTTTCTAACTAATAGAAGAATGGAATATAATAACAGCAAGGTTCAAATGCTTACTCCTAATTGCTGTCTTTTTCGATGATAATTTTTTTTTTTTTTTTTTTAATGTGACCCAATGACTGTGGGAGAAAATCTTCTGTAAACAGCATCCAATTTTAAAATTTTAATTATGAGCAAGTATTTCTCAAAAAAGAAATTTTTAAAACAAGCGACACATAAGTTATCTTATAATACTAGCTTTTTTTACAACTTTACATTCTATTAACTTCCACCAGAATGCAAATTAGCTTTTAGGGTGATTAAGTCAAGTTTTGAAGTTTACAAAAGAATGTTCGGCAGGTTGTTACTCTGTATTTCGGTGGCTAAACTACTTTGCTGGCACAAATTTGCTTGCTTTGACTCAATATGTCTAATTAGTCATAGAAAATAATGTTTAACATAGGTTTTGCTTAGAATTTAATTCCATTTACGAGGGTCAGTCATAAAGTTAGTTGCACTGCCTAAGAAAACAAAACAGGAGCAAAATTTTACAATAACTTTATTTATATTTTAAAGTTCCATTCAAAATCTACTTTTCAGCGTAATTACCTCCATTACTTAAGCATTTGTTGAGGCATAGTACAAGTTTTTCGATGCCTTCTGCAAAGAAATCCCGTCCAATGTCCGATAACCATTGCTGGGCTGCAGCTTTCAGTCTGGCATCCGAATAGTAATGTCGCTTAGAAAGTTCTTGTTTCATGGGACCAAACACATGGAAGTCAGGAGGTGAAGAGTCTGGGCTATAAGGAGAGCAATTCCACACTTCCCATCTAAACTTTTTCAGAAGTTCGCACATTTGTTTTGCTGCATGCGGTCTTGCATTATCATGCAGGAGCACAATGACTTTTGACAGTTTATGTGACCATCGATTTTTAAGTGGTTTCCGCAATCATTTTAGTGTTTCACAATAAGAAGATGCATTAATTGTGCCACCCTTCGGCATGAACTCTGTATGCACCATGCCTTCTCTGTCAAAAAACAGCTTCATCATCACCTTTTCTGCAGATGGACAAGTTCAAAACTTTGTTCATATCAGGAACTGCAATGCTTCCACTCGAGCGAGTTGCGTGTCGTTTCAGGTGAGAAGTGATGAATCCAAGTTTCATTTCCAGTCACAACTTTGTTCAAAAAATCATTTCCTTCTGTTTGGTAACATTGCAGAAATGCAAATGCACTTTCAAAATGCTTTCCTTTATGTTTCTGCATCAATAGATATGGCACCCATCGAGCACAAACTTTACGAAATTTAAAGTGATCGGCAATAATTTTATGCACACTTCCATTAGAAATATCCAGTTCATTTGAGATTCCGTCTATTGTTATGCGTCTGTTTGCAAGATTGCATTCATTCATGTGAGCAGCGATTTCCGAATTTGTTATAGTTGATGGTTTTCCCTCATGCTCAGCGTCGTCAATACCTGTATGTCCATTCTCAAACATGTTGTACCATTTCACGATAGCTTCATGTGACATTGCATATTCACCATACACTTCATGCAACTGCCCATAAATTTCAGTGCGGTTGCACCTTTTTGCCCACAAAAAAATTAATCACTGCACGCATTTTCAATTTGGGTGCTATTTGCAGATCTCGAGACATGTTTGCAACCGATTATCAGAAAAACTAAACTTGCCTCGGGGAAGCTGCAATGTCATGCGATAAGGGTACATGTCTGAAATGTTGCCACATAGTGTCATCCAAATAGTTTTAGACAGAACATATTTACGCAACAAACTTCTGACTGACCTATGTAATTTAAATTGGTATGGAGAAGCCTTTATTCTACCTATAAGTTAACACTTCAGTTTCTGTTAATTTCAATTCATGAAACCATCAAGTCAACATACTAATAAACATATTATCTTTGATTGTCATACTTCTAGCTAGAAGGCCAGACAGAATGTTTTTCAACAACTCTGATGGTTACTTTGTTTAAAACTTAACAGTGAAATTGCATAACTACCACCACAAGGCAATAACTTTATTTATTGCAGATTTGATTTTATCAAAAGTGAAAACAATACTACCTATAACAAAAAAAGGGAGAGGAAAATTATCTCATTACCTGTTGCACTGACAGTTAAATGCAAAGCACTGATCAACATACGAGGGCTATCCAGAAAGTAGATTACGTTTTGGAATAAAAAAATAAACAAAGTATAGGAAACAAATTTTATTATATACAGATGAAAGCCACACTCAAATACTACTTTTCTACATAGTCACCATACAAATTAAGGCATTTATCGTAGCGATGTACGAGCTTGGAAATTCCTTTGTCGAAAAATTCGGCTGCCTGCACCTTCAACCACTTCGTTACCTCTTCTTGCCTTCCATCTTGCACAAAACTTGTGGTAACCAAGCTTTTTCGCTGATGATTTCGTGCAACAAACTTCGCGAAATTTGTGGAAAACTCAAAGAAAGTTCCGTTATTGTGAAATTTCGATTTTCACGGACTTTAGCATCGACTTTTTCGAGAAGTTCGGCGGTCACTATGCTGGGTCTCCCACTTCGATCTTCGTCGTGAACATTGGTTCAGCCATTTTGAAATCTTATGACCCACTGACGACTCCACCTTCAGTGATAATGTTGTCCCCATACACTTCACGAAGCTGCCGATAGATTTCTATCGGTTTACAGTTTTTTGCAGTTATTATTTTACTTATTTACGCAGTTATTACCTTATTACTGAGCGCACCTCGCAGCTCGCGGGATTTTCAATTAACGCAGACATTTCAAACCGTCACAGTATCTGAACGGAGCACAGCACGAACCTCTCACTAGCACGGCTAGATGCAGACTGAGCTGCGCAACGCTCTGACCCCAAGATGGCCGCGCTAGCCCCGCCCCTAGCGGACACAGACGGAAACGTAATCTACTTCCTGGATGGCCCTCGTATAATTATATAGAAATATAAGATTTTCAAAATATTTATTTTTGATTACATAGGATTCAAGACATAACTGCAAAAATTACTGAAATGAATTCAACACATTAAACTATATATTTCTTGTAAAATTCATTTACAGCATTTCTACTGAATTTAAAAAATTCAAAATTATTAAAACACTCTCATATATATAATTTAATAAAGATTATATGAGTTCATTTCTTCATCACAACAAAACACAATGTAAATTAAAAACATTTTTTAATCTACTCCAATATATAGCTCATGGTTGCTTTCCATTTCTTTCATGCTAAATTCTATTATGATGCTCTTCCAATATCATTTCTTGTTGGAAAAATAAAAAAACTTTTAAAGTCTCATCAATTAATGTTACATAAATGAAATAGCATCCATATATTATTAGAATTCCGTGGGTGTAGTTCAATTAGTATAACACTAAACAAACTTACGTAATCTTTCTGTCATCAGTGGATCAGCAATCTGTCTAAATAAGCCACAAGAAGCATTTCTCAAGTAACATTCTAGTAATCCATCAACCTTGAAAAAAAATTACATTCAGAGAATGTACAACACTTAAGAAAATTTAAGAAAAATAAAAAATATACAATCCCATAAAAAGTTCACATTTGTTAGGTTTATTTTAGAAACAAAACAAATAGGAAGAGATGAGCACACAGTGACAGCTCTGGTCTTGGAAATTCAGTTGCTGTGTGGCATTTCACCTGCCATGAGCGAGTTTAACAAAAGCAATCATTCTGCAATCATCTTGTAAAAATTTTATGTTTGCTCTCATTTTTTGATATAAATGATGTCTCAAGTGCTTTAAATGATTAAAAAATGACTGCAGAAGCATGAAGAAATAGGTCTGACTTTGAGTAAGTCTCAAAAGTGACTTCCTTGACGACCTTTATGGCGATCAAGGATTAATGCAAAAGTGAAGAATATTTGACTGCCACTTTGTAAAACTCAATATCATAAAATCATCAAAGCAGTTTCTTACATTATATTCTTTGTAAAGTCTTACTTCTGCTGCCCTACAAGATGCAAAAAGTATAAAAACTAAAGCCAAATAATATCATACAGAGGCAAACTGATCTCCAGAAGACAAGATATGAAAGGCTCTCTGGTAGTTCAGATTATGGCCACTACAGATGATTTTTTTAATTGGGGGGGGAGGGGGATAACTCAAATATGAAGTTTGGAAAAACAATCCTCACTTCCTGGTAAGTAATATCAAACATCATGAAACTGCATGCCGAATAATGATCGATAACTTTGCTTCTCATTTAGAAGAGCGAGGGAAGTATAACAATTTCTTCACGCCTATACTTCAAAAATATGCAATAGTTTTCACATATGTCTGTTCTTTTTATTATTATAAATACATTCTATCACAAAAAATATACACTGGCGTGCAAAAATTAAGGACGAGACGGTTTTTTCAATATAACTTTGTACAAAAGTTTTCCAAATCAACACATTTAATACCGTAAGATCCCCAATACGTAAGGACATGAGTAATGTAAGCAACACTTACTAAAAGAGAAATCAGAGGGATAAAAAGAAGCTTTATTGAAAAAGTAGCATGGAGCACAATGCGACTGAAGCCTGAAACATCCCTGTGATGGGTGTCCAGCAAGAAACATCCAGTCTTTAATAGGGGATATGATCTCCCCTGACTGCTAGGCAGGTTTCACAGCGTCTGCCCATGCTGAGAATGAGGGTGTCAATGAGTTGTTGAGGCATTGCTGCCCATTCGTCTTGCAGCGCCAATCGAAGCTCCGGAATCGCTACTGGTGGTAAGGTACAAGCTGCCAAGCGTCTGCCTAGAAAATCCCATACATGCTCGATGGGATTGAGATCCGGAGATCGTGCCGGCCAATCCATACGTTCAATATCCTCACTCTCTAAGAGCTGTTCGGCAGCTACTGTGCGATGACATGGTGCATTGTCGTCCATGAAAAGGAACTGCGGACCCATAGCGCCTCTAAAAAGACGCACATGTGGAAGAACAATCTCGTTACAATAACGGGTCCCGTTGACTGAACCTGCATCGAAGATGTGAAGGTCTGTACAACTATCAAGCATGATGCCTCCCCACACGAGAACAACGCCACCTCCATACCTGTCCCTTTCAATGATGTTCGAGGGATGATTGCGGCTTCCCCGCTCTCTCCAGATGAGTATGCGATGAGAATCGCTACTCAGACTGAATCTGCTCTCATCTGTAAAGAGTACTCGTCCCCATTCATTGTCTCTCCAATTCCGGTGTTCCCGGCACCAACAGAGAATGCCTTCCGATGGCAGGCAGGTACCACCGTACAGGTACATCAGCCCACCCCCCGTACGTACAGGGATCATGAAACCAGACCACCACGTGCAGTATTCTGATCACGGTAAAACGCGATATCGGTCGTCCAGTCGCCTGTGTCGTGTGTCTAGCGATTTCTCCTGCTGTCTGCCGCCTGTTTCTTCTGGCCTGTAAGGCAATATACCGGTCATCTGCAGGTGTGGTTCCTCGTGGACGACCACTACTAAACCCCCGGATAGCTGTTCCTGTAGTTTGAAATTGTCTCGAAAGTCGTGAAACGATGCTGTGAGCAATTCCGAACTCTGCAGCCACACTTGTCACACTGCGGCCTTCCTCCAACTTCCCAATGATTTGACCTCGGGTAAAAGCATCCAATGTCGTCTAACAGATTGATTATTCGCCATTTCTCGCTGAGGCAGCCACTCGGTGTGATTTTAACTGCTATACGGTGTGCAATCTCTTTGCCAGAAATACTGATCTTACACTGACAACATGCTTTATACTACTCAGACACTCCCCCATTACATCTACCTGCATATCTGCGCATGTGCTACCGTACATCACCTTACTTTATCTCCTGATTGGTCTTTCTGTCCGCTCTGCCTCTTCGTTCAGCTGATATGCTAATTTTTCTACTTCGTCCTTAATTTTTGCACACCAGTGTATATAGCACACAGAAGAAATAAAGTCACAATCACAAAACTCAGCAGGAATGTAGTCTGGTAAGAGATATGCAAATGATTTAAATTTCGACACCAATGAGAAAGGGTAAAGCATATTATGCCACATTAACCTGCTTCTAGCAAGTTGGTCAAACAGACGTATCTGGCCGCCACCTTGTTCAAAGTGGTATGGTAGTTGCTTGGTGTTGGCGATAATAGTCTTTCATCGCGGAGGGTCAGGGCCTCCCATGAACACAAATGAGAGTGAGGGTCACACAATTATAAGAGTGGCCACTTCCGCACCAACATCACTAGCATCAATTCGACACCATTTACTATCTTTCAGACATCCAATGGTATCAAGGAAAACCATTTGGAGATGACTGGTCGATGCTGGTATGAGCTGCCGACGTCTATTTAGACACCTACCACTAACCCCACATCACAGGCAATGTCGATTGGATTTTTGCCGAATTCGGGCAAGCTCGAGTGTCACTGATTGGAGGCATGTGTTCAGCGATAAATCTCGATTCAGTCTCAGTAGTGATGAACAACGCACATGCTTGTAGAGGCACCAAGCCAGCGATACTATCCAGCATTTGTTGTCGAGCAGCATACGAAGATTACACAAGGTATGACAGTCTGGGGAGTAATTTATTGGGACACACAATCTCCTCTATTTGTCCTTCAACGCATTACAACACCTCGCAGTTATGTGGACATTTTAACGTTAGTTGTATTCCTATGCTATTAAGTCCCCTAGGTGCCATTTATCAGCAAGACAATGCTCGTCCTCATACTGCATGACTCTCCTAACAATGTCTTCAAGAATAAGACGTACTTCCTTGGCCTGCCAGATCACCAGACCTCTCGGCAATACAGCATGTTTGGGACATGCTTGGAAGGCAACTGCCACCCTGGAATATTGGTGAATTCACGGCCCAGTTGCAAAGATTATGGCACGATCTTCTACAGGGGATCATACATGACCCACTTGATTTGTATTTAAGCTTGTATAGCCATGTATACACCTTGTTTCAGCTTGTATATCTGCCAAAGGTGGCTCTATTACTTACTGATTTGTAACCCTTTTCATGCCATACTTTTTGATAAAATGATTTTATATTCTGAATTTGTAATCATTTGTTTATCTCCTCATACATGTTAAGTTTCGTGATAGTAGTTCATTTCCTTCTACGTGCATACATTTTTTTGAGACAGAGTGTATTTAAAAACTGAAATTATTGATCAGAACACCTTGTATGAACAATACATTTAAACTCTTAAATTTTTCAAAATCCATTTTCATTGCTATTTAGCTTTTTATTTTTAGCCAAAAAATGAGATATCAATCAACATAAAGAAAAAATTCCATATATGAATAAATATGCAGATCTGCATTTGATTCCCAGAAGGGGGATGTATATATGACAAAATTCTTCACTTCCAAATTCTTCTCAATAACTCTATAATTTTACGAGTAAAATTCGGACAAATTTAGCATTCTAATGCAAAATTTATATCACTTTTGAGAAGAAAAAATTATAAGGCATAAGGCTTAAAATATAGAATCTTCAAATTACAAAAAAAGTTAGAATAAGTAGATTTAAAATACATTTATTTTTTAATTGCAGAATTCTGCTTACATCTTACAAAATAGTCACACTGACTATTTTTTATTATTCTGCAATATATTTTATTGCACTTTAAACCAGAATGGAAAGAAAACTGAAAATTTAAAAACTCAAATTTAAAATGAATAAAATAAATTGTTTGGTTTTCTAAAAATACTGAATCTCCCAAAGTTATTTTCACAAAGATAATTTTATAGAAATATTTAAACTTTTTAAGAATACAGTCAAAAGTCGTTAATTCGGACACCCATAATCCGGACCTCAAAGCTACAAACTTTCTGCACATGCGTGAACGCAAAATGCTTTGACGCATGCGCGTAATACCTTTACGTATGCGCATATGTGTGTATGAGTGCACGTAATTTGTTTACGCATGCGCGTTTAATATATAACGGACGATATAAGCTAAGCTAAAATTATCTAATTATCTATTTCAGTTAATGTTGCAGATTGCGTTGTTCCTTAATCTTCGAATTGGATCCGGCTTATTATTTTTTGCAGACTGTTAGAGCAATTTTATAAAAGTAACTTGGAACTTTCGATTATGTCAAATAGAATTTCCGATGCTGGATCTACAAAGGGAAAGCATGTTTCGATGTATATCAAACAAAAAGTGGAATTGCTGCAAAAAATGGATAAAGGCATATCCTTTGATTCTCTAACCATTCTGAAATATGTTTATCAATTTCACGCTGCTCTGCGAGGGATTGGAAAACTTTGCGGCACACAATGAACTGAAAGTTGATCTATCAGCGCTATCCTTATCTTCAGGGCAGATGTTTTATTTTATTCGGCTTATAATTCGTTACTAAATGTAGTATTTCATCTCGATGTACTCCATCTCTGATATGATTTAAATAAAATTCTTCGTCGTTATAAATATCACGAATACACAATAAATAGTTTTCTGGTTGCAATTTTCTAATTTCGACTATGCGTAATGTATGCTTTACGCATGCGCGCATTGAAAATGTTTAATAAAGTAAATAAATAAATATTAAGCTTTTTTTTTTGTAAATTTTGATACCCTATTCATCATAATTACTCTTTTATTTCATAAATTACAGTTTCATATTTTTAATTTTATAATTTCTGCATGCCATCTTATCTTACCTAGATTTAAATTGATGATCTATAATCCGGAAAAACCGATAATCGGGAATCGCCAAAGTCCCAACGAGTCCGGATTAAAGACTTTTGACTGTAATAGAAGCACACAGTTTCATACATTTTGAAGTAGTGGATAATTTTTTTCTAAGGTCAACAACAAAATATCAGAATAAACAGTCAAAAGAAATATAGAAGGAAGAAAGTATAAGATTAAACACATGGTTCCCACCGAAATTCAGCTTTTAATTTCCTGATTTCCTATGACAAAATGGAACAATTTTCTGAACAAGGATGATGAACTAGTTATCAAATTAAGTGTAACTCGATAACTTTGTGGATTTATTAAAAACTATAATGAAACAAGTAAGGTATAATATAATTTAACTATAATATAAAAACTATAATGAAACACTTTGCTCTGTGAAGTGTTGGAGCAATATCTCCTTCACGGATCCATGGATTATGTGGGTGCGCACCATCCCGCTTGAAAATGTTCGAAGTAAGAACCCGTCTTTGCAGCAGTTACGGCACAATAAACATCTGCATCATGTCATGGTACCAATGGCTCGTAATGGATTATGTGACAGGTTCACGTTCACCGATTCCTTCAAAGAAGAATGGCCCAGGCATGAATGTCGCCATTAATCCATACAAGACAGTGACCTTTGGAGACTGCAGGGGAATTCCAGTGTGGATCTGCGAATTTTCCTTAGCCCAAATGTGGCAATTCTGTGTATTGACTGCCCCACTGAGGCAGAAATGAGCCTCATCGCTCCATATAATATTCCAAGGCCATCAGAGATCAACAGCCATTCTGTTGAAAAAACTGACTGCGAATAAGAGACTTTATGGCTTGTCCCTATCAAGCAGCTCCTGGGTATGGTGGATCTTGTATGGGAAGTAATGCATTCTCTTTATAAGTACTTTTTGGACGTTGATGTAAGAATAGCTTGTCTGTCGAGAAACTGCATGCACGTTACTGCTCCCAAACTCTGATGTTTGTGACTGTGTGTCTACAGCTCTTTTGACGGCATTAACAAGTACCAGTGTGACACGTTTACGGCCTCTTCCAGGTTGAACTTCTAATTTCCCCCGTCTTCAAATCTTTTATTCATGACCCAGATACTGTTAGTTACACAGTGGTCCCCGCCGTAGGTTCTTTCTACAACAAAATTCATGAATTGCAACAGAAGCATTCCCCTTATTTTTGTAAAACAGCTTCACCAATATCGCACGTTCAAAGAGATCGTCATTAGTACAGCCGGAAATATAGACTTAAACATGACAACGTCTGCAAACGTTTTATACCCTAACCTGTTTAACATTAAGCTTCCTCTTCTTCCCAAGCATGCAAATCTCTACATTTTTCGCCTACAACTGACAGCTTTTCCTGGTTTTGCATTTTATTATTCACAATTCTTGTTCTGCATTGTTAATACTGTTTTGGTCGTTTAATGCGTTAAATTTCATGTTTTTCCCCGTAAAGGCGCCCTCTGTTGGACATTTTAGAACTTTTTTTTTTTTTTTTTTTAAATTCCATAAGCACATTTTGTGTATAGCCCATATAAAAAATTCCTTTCCATTCTGTTCAACCGTTTGCGCTGTAGGATGTCGTTTATAAAGGAAGTTTAATTATAACCACCAGGTATACATGAACCATGTACCTAAATCATTAAGAAATTAGCTAATGCTTTTAAAAAGAAACATGGAAATTCTGGAAAAAGTTATTTATTTCTTAAAAGAAATTTATTATAACAATGTATTATTTATAACAAGAATTACTAAATATTAAAAAAATGCTTAATTAATATAATATAGCTGTTGATTACAACATACAGATACACAAGGAAATGATTTCTAAACTGTATTATTCATTTCTGAATGGCATTTATACTTTAGAAGGCGGGTGACAGATGGTAACATTTTTAATAACCAAAAAAAATTAAGAGGAAAGGTATGCTTTGATAAAATTGTGGGTAACATTAAATACACTGCGCAAGAAATCAATTACAACAAATCTTTATTTACAACTCTTTCTTTTAAGATAGGAAACTTTTATTTGCAAATTACAGCTTAAAACATGATACTTTTTATTATTTGAAAGGGCTGACCTGTAACTTTAAAAAAAAAAAAAAAAAAAAAAAAAAAAAAAAAAAAAAAAAAATTCAGAATTTTTGGAAAATTTTTACATTTTACATGATTATTTGCAAAATGTTTATATTTTCACTGACTTTCTTTGCCTATTGTTTATTTCCCTAATTTTCCAACTTCAAGTGAGAATAACTGTTGTTGCCAACAAAATCTTTACTGCTGAATAAAATTAAAACAACCCAAAAAGAATTTGAAGTTTTAAAAGTTCTGATATTTGCTTCTGCACTGGTTTACTGAAAAGCATCCAAATATTAAAAAGCGTGTTACCATTTGAATAAAAGCATATATACATACATAGTAACATATAAAGGCTTTCAAGCTACAAATCTTCATTAACTGTTAACCTTTATTTTGAATGCAGATTGTAAAGTACACACACACACACAGACACAAAAAAAAAAAGGTTAAATTTCTGCAATAAACCTGTTATAGGTTGTTAGAAATAATTAATTTTATTTATGAACTTCATACAAAACAACACAAATTTTAAAAAAATTTGAATGATCAAAGTAAAATTATGTTTTGAATATATTTTTACTTGTGCTACATAGAGTAACGCACTTTTATAACATGAAAGAACTTACACATTACTGATTGACAACATCTACTTATGACAGGTAGGATTTTATTATAAACAGAAAACAACACCATCTTTTTGAGGTGGTAATAATATACCTTCTGGAAAAAGCAAGACCTCAGAAATTAAGATATTGCAAAAGAAAAACTCAAATATCTAGAATATGTTCTCATTTAACTGGTTTCAGCCAAATATATAGTTGCTATTAGAATTTTACTAAAAAAAAAAAAAAAAAAAAAAAAAAAAAAAAAAAAAACTTTTTATTTTTTAGAGGTAGAAAAGATAATTATTACTTCCAATTTATGACATGGATATCTTCAATATATTCTCCCACTTACTAACACACATGATGCATATTTATAAATCTACACTCTGTCATTTATAATAATAATCACAAACAAAGTAATGAACTATTTTTAAACTGGAATTCATTACTTTTTAAAATTATATTTATCACTTATGACATAAAAAACTGCTGTGATTTTTTTAAAAGACCTAACATAATGTCTTGCACTTATTTGTTTGCATAAGTGAGCACAAGAATATAAATTTTGCCAATAAAAATAGCACATAAAATTTAATGAACTATTTAGCAGAAGAACCTAAGACAGCAAAGAAAATATATCTTGCAAAATTAGCAAGTAAAGAAAATATATCTTGCAAAATTAGTAAGCAACAAAAGGAAATATTATATTGATTAATTTACCAAATCTATATCAGTTTTTACAGGTGTTTCTAGTTTTTCATCAGTAAGAAGCTCATACAAGGATCCCGAAACAACAGTAGCAATACGTGCAAGAGTATCTTTTAATGCAGTAGTGTCCAATGTTTCATTTGAATCAAAAATGCTGTTGTAAAATCTGAAACATAAATAAAATATATAAGCATAAAGTGTCAATTTCTTTGACAACTAGGATAATGAGCAGGAAGAAATTGACACTTTACTGGAGAAATTACAGCATTATAACAAGGTTGGATGAGGTTATTTGGATACGGTGAAGCATGTGTTGTTGTAATCTACTTAAATGGCTGAAATAAAATAAACAGCTAAAAATAACTCAAGGAGGAAAAGAGATATGACAAATTCTTCTTAAATTGCAAGGACAATAGGACAACCACTCATAAAGCAAAGCATAAAGCTGAATACAGTTGCATGAGTTTGAGCTAAATTACCATCGGATTCAATGCAGCCATATTTATAGGTTTGCCCAGCACATCTGGAAGCTTCAAGAAAAATCGTTCTAAAGGCACTATTTTCCAGAAATTTTCAAAATGTCTTAATCTTGGAAACAAAATTATCACTATGCATAACAGAAGAATTATTTGTCCATATCCCACGTTTTAATCAGGTATTGTTACAATTCAAAAATCAATCAAAATCAATTTATAAGGTCTACAATATAAAGCATAAAATAAACATTTACAAACATAACAAGTGGCCGCAAACAAAAACACACAATAACATAAAATAATTATAAAAACACACAGTAGCATAAAATAATTAAATAAAATTTGCAAAACAAAAAGAACAACATACATATATATTGTTTCAAAAGAATATACTAAAGTTAAATTAAATTTAAATAATTCTCTTGCACCATTGCTGCAAGGAATGAAATTTGAATTTAACAAACATTCTCTATCCGTAAAAAGCAAATTTAAAGTTAATTAAATTTTTAATGAAATTGAATTACAAATAAATGATTAATTATGTTGCAAACTAATCTAAAATATAATTTAAATTCTGAGAGCATATGTAAATCAAGTGCACGTATCATAATCTATGAATATATAATAAATGTATAATATTAATTCCAATAAATTCTTTAATCCTAAAATTTAAATTAATTACTTTAAATTGCTTTTCACGAATAGAGAATGTTTGTTAAATTCATGTATATATATATGAATTTAACAAATATTCTCTCATTTGTATAAAGATAAATTAAAGTGCTAATTTACACTTAAATTTTAAAATTATGAAAATTTAATGGTATACACATAAAAGATTAATTATTGTTGTGAACTAATTTGCAATAGTTAAATTCAAAGAGCATATATAAATTAAGTGCAAGTATCCATGAAAAAATATTTAATAATTCAAAAAATCAATCCTAAAATTTAAAGGATTTTTAAGACAAAATTAATTTGCATAAAGTGAATAATTCTGGAGCAGGCAGTAGACAGATCTTTTCAAAGGCAAGTTGCCTCCAAACCTAACTCTTCAATTACTCAATTTGTGTTTTGTCATTCATTTAGGTATGGGTAAAGTATTATTCAAAACCAAAAGTAAAAACCAAATGTAGTGAAATGCTTAAACAAGAAATTTTAACTATTCAAGAATTTCAAGAAATTTAGTAACCAAATCGACTAGGAAACAAAATTATCAATTAAAAGACATTGGTAATGTAATTAAGAGTTTAAATCCAAATTTAGAAATCCTTGCCTATTGGACCTTCCCCGACATGAATTATGCTTGTAAACCAAAATAAACAAAATACAATCTATGAAAACATAAAAGTAATACTTAAATAATACTGAAAAGGCAAATAAATAGTAAGTTTTAAGTTATCTTACCTTGTAACTACATATTTTGTACATCGGAGAGTGGAGTAGCATTTACTAAACAAAGTAAGGTTGAGTAATTTGTTTCAGCTAACTGTGCTAATACTATGTAAAGTAGAGTGTTAAGCTGCTACCTATGTGATCTATTGTAAAAACCTATGCTGTAAACTCTAAAGTAATGTAATATATTAAATGCTTGTTCTGTGTGAAAAAATGTTGCTAACTGTAAAAATAAATAAATATGGATTGTAAAAATACTGTAAAAATATTGCTAACTATTTAGGATTGTAAAAATTTTCAAACTGCTAAGGATTGTAAAAAAAGGAGTTTGAAAATTTTTTTTGAAGTTAAAAATTAAAATTAAATTAATTTTTTACATTTCAAACTTTAAATTAAATTAATTTAACTTTAAGTTTGAAAAATTTTAATATTTGAAAAAGAATTTTAATTTCACAAATTGAAGGAAATGGTTAATGATTTTATTGTAAGAAATGTTTTTAATAAAACTGAAGTTCAACAATAGTTAAATCAAAACTTAAACTAAATACTGGCCAAAGGTAAGGAAAATTTTAAAAAAGATATAAAAATCTTCATGCAATTCGGGCTATAATTGAGACTTGAAAAGAGTTTGCCCTTCATTAGTAAAAGGAAAGAATCCAGTGTAAATATTTATATATTATAAAGATACATAAATATCAAAATAGAAACAAATATTAATATAAATTTACAACAACAATTACTCTAATTTCGAAAATCTAGTAAAGCATAATAAAATACAGTTGCATTAGAAATAAATTACATCAGAATATGGTTTAACAAAAATCAAATTCATTGCCCTTTTCTCCCACCTCCTTTTTTTTTTTTTTTTTCTCTCTCTCTTTTCTTTTTAAATAATACCGTATTGCCATTTTCAACAGATGTATTTCCAAATTATCTGGACATTGCTTTTAACAATTGAAAATTATGACTTTCAACAGCTTTCAAACTTTTTATTTGTTTTAGTTCTACTATGTTTTTGACTGCAACCATTTGAAAGACTGCTTATTATAAACATGTTCCTATGATAAAATAAATAAATAATGTGTCAGTATTATTTTTTATAAAGTTATCTAATTGCATTGCAAGTATACAAATAAAAAATTTATCAGCATCAGGATTTTAAAAATGAATGAACTTAAAAGTAACAGAAATTATAATTACTTGTTAATGAATTTTTCTTCATGGTCTGCAAGCACTATGCCTGGAATTGAACTGTCCTGTCTCAAGAAACTCTGGAAAGATGCTGGAGGAAGTGGTAAATCAGGAGGAGCTTCAGAAATTTTTAAGTTTTTAACTTTCTCAGCTTCATTTTGAAACAAATTTACGATGTGTTTAACCTAACACAAAAATAAATAGGTAAGTAATTAGTGTTTTGGACTATCTACATTATTATTATACATGTTTCACAAATAATTCATATACAAAAGTATTCAGATTTACAATTAATTAACATAGTATTCACTTTACTTCCCATTTATGATCTCAACTTTACAACTTAACAACTGAAACTCAACTTTTAACACTGACAACAAATGAAAAAATTACCCAGACCTAATGTGATAGATTACTTATCAAATTGTTAAGTATGAATAGTTGAATCATTATCAGCATTTATTATTAAATATGCAATGAAATAATTAAGGACATTATAAAATGTTTTATTCATTTTGCCTCTATTTTGAAGCAAATGAAAATTATATACAAGACAGATGCAACTAAACCATTAAAAAAGTGAACAACAAATTTTAAAAACAAATACAGAAATTCTAGAAAAAATTAATATTCTGCAAAAGACATTCAATATAAATATTATTCAATATAAATATTCTACCTGTATAATATGCCTTATAGGCATATTATACAGGTAGAAAACTATGAAATCTCATGTGCAGCCAGACTCTCTTCAGGCTTTAAACTCAAGTTAAAAAACCAGTGTTCAGAGATTTACCACTCAGCCACTGGTGAATGATAATGACTTCTAAGTTACAGTACAGGGTTCATAGCCACATTTTAGTTAAAAAATAAGCACCTATAAGCACTTTTCAAGCACATTTTAAGAAAAACAATAAGCACCTGTCTAATTACATCATACACAACTGCATAACTTAAAAATTAAAATTGTAATTTAAAATATGAGAAATGAAGTACTTATTAAGAGAGAATAAGCATTACCTCAATTATGGAAATAATAATTTTTTTTTTTTTTTAATTTTAAATAATAGTTCAATTTACAGAACTAATTTACAATGAGAGAAAAAAAAAACTATGAAGAACTAAACTATATTACAAGATTTAATGATGAAATTTCAGTTCAAAATAGAGAAAATAAATAATAATAAGGCATATTTATTGTATTTGTTTGGAACCTAATAATAAATACAATTTATTTTTCCACTCATATTGATATTTAAATAATTTAAATCTAAATTCTGAACATTTTCTAAATTTTCATTGCATAACAGTTTTTCCTTAACAGAAATTGCAAGCAAAGTAATTTAAGTAAAAAAGAGGCACATTTCTGAAATCAGAAGACAGAAATTTGCTTCATGCAGCCATCTTTAACAGTAAAAGCTTAACTAACCCGCATACTTGGAATTGGCGAATATTCGGACAGTCGAGCGTAACTTGAAGGAGCGGAGGGGGTAGACTGTAGCCGCTCTTTAGATTTTTCCGCTAATAAATGCTTTTGACATTTCAATATGTGCATCATATAAAAATAAACCAACGGAACTAAAAAATATTTTGCTTAGCAAGCACAGTAAAACCCTTTCAGTTAGTAAGTAAGTGTTCATAAACAAATCTCGGACTGAACATCAAAATTAATTATCTCTGCAAAATATCGCAAACATTATTGCACAATACGTGCGCCGTAATTCTTCCCTACGTGATATTCCGCAATCGGAATCAACAACTGCCGGTATTGGGAGAATAAAGAACTAAATAACTGGGGTGTTTTTCATTCTAATTTTCAACGGACGGCATTAAATTTCCGGAATAGAATCATTCTTCGCTTGGGTAGGTAGACCGCAGAACTTTTAGTCCTATTCAATCCAGATTGGAAAGTAACCAAAAAAAAAAGTCTGTTGCTTGTTTTGCAGTGAACTGTAACAGTTTCAATATTCAAGATTTTGCGGAGAAAGGAGAGACCTCCCAACCTTCATACTGTATAATATATTGGCCAAAAAAATGAAATTATTATGACTATTCAATTACTTTCCCTTTATTTAAGCCATTCCGAATATTATTCCTTAGAAAGCTAATCTGTGTTAAGACACAACCATTTTTGGAAGTTTACTATGCTTCAGCAGTTACTGCAACTATGTTATTATAAACATTCATACATATGCTCATAATATAAGCATAAAGATCATAATAAACATGAATATGAACTGACCAAGCAGAATGAGAATGCAAATTTTTAAGATCTTGATAGAAATTCAAACGTGTGTAGTATTTGGGTGGAAGGAAAAGAATGCCGAATGTAGCGGAATTTTCTACTGCTTTCGCAATTCTTTGACCAATAGAACGACGGGCACCTGTCTGTACTCTTCGTGCACACCAAAGGTTATGTTAATGCAGAGAAAGGGGGAAAAGCTATTTCCGGGAGTATGACTCACCATCTGACATTCCATTAGGAAGAAAAGTTGGGTTTAGTTTCGGCTTGGTACGGGGAAAAATAGCGCAGAAAAATAGCGCGTTCATTAAAAAAAAAGCACTAAAAACAAAAAAATAAGGAATTTAAAGAAAAAGTAAGCACCTATAAGGGCCTTTATATTTTATTTTCAAATATAAGGATTTATAAGCACTTATAAGGACCACTACGAACCCTGTATTTATTTTTGCCAGGACAGTTAGATTCTCCCAAAAGACAAGTGAACAGCAGTTCATTAATAGTTGGACAGAAGAGTTGTTATAAAAACGTGCATCTGAAACAAGGCGAGTTTTTTCTTTAGGGAGGAAGAAGATTACAGTAATTTTAAATATGCACTAAAAAAAAAAAAAAGAAGAAGAAGAGAGAGAGAGAAACAAGTTTTGTTTATTAGGTACCGTTTAAAATAAATAGACTTTATTATTTGAAAGGACTGATCCATAAATTTTAACTTTACTACCCTTTCAAAAAAAAAAAAGTTCTGATCTTCTCTGATGTTTAGGATTCCCTAGATATTTTTTAACTTTTCCTGATTTTTGACAATGGAAATCCTGCTTTATTCACAACAAATATGATATTATTGCAAACTGGGAATAATTATACAATAAATGTTAAACCCAATTTTCCAGATTTTCTGATCAGGATGGCTATGATCCTACTTTCTCTATTTAATTAGAATTTTACTGTAAACTAAAAATGTGATATCTAACCTCCTTAGCAACTGCATCACTTTTTTTAACAGACACTGGATCTGAGTGAAGCCACAGAGAAACTGAGGGGTCTTCTGGAGCTAACTGGCTGAGTTCAATGAAGTGAGAAATGTGATTCAAGTCGATCAGAGCAGGCTGATCTCTGAGGCCATCGAACAGACGAACTGGGAACACACCTTTTTGCATATCAAACACCACTCGACTGGAGCCAATATAATCAAATGCTTCCTGAAAATAAAACATATTAAATTAAATAACCCATCTTCATTTGCCAAAACAATGATAATCACTAATTGGACATAAAGTTTCAAGATACAGGGTTCATAGCCACATTTTAGTTAAAAAAATAAGCACCTATAAGCACTTTTCAAGCACATTTTAAGGAAAAAATAAGCCCCTGTCTAATTACGTTATATACAACTGCATAACCTTAAAAGAAAAATTAGACTTGTAATTTAAAATATGAGCAATGCAATATTTATTAAGAGAATGAGCACTGAAATTTCAGTTCAAAATATAGAAAATAAATAATAAAAAGCCATATTAATTGTATTCGTTTGGGACCTAATAATAAATAGAATTTATTTTTTCCACTCATATTAATATTGAAATAATTTAACTTAAATTAAAATTTTGAACATTTTCTAAATTTTCATTGCATAACAGTTTTTCCTTAACATATATTCCAAGCAAAGTAATTTAAGTAAAAAAGAGGCACATTTCTGGAATCAGAAGACGGAAAATTGCTTCATGCAGTCATCCTTTCATAGTAAAAGCTTAACTAACCCGCATACTTGGAAGTTGCCGAATATTTCTGATAGTAACTGGAAAAAGAGGAGTGGGGGAGATTGTAGCCGTTCTTTAGATTTCTCAGTTAAATAAATGATTTCTGACATTTCGATATGTGCATCATATAAAAATAGACCAACAGAACTGAGAAATATTCCACTTAGAAAGCACAGTAAAATTCTTTTCAGTGTTCATAAACAAATCTGGGACTGAACATCAAAATTAATTATCTCTGCAAAGTACCGCAAACGTTATTGTGCAATGCAACATTATTGTGCAATGCGTGCGGCGTAATTCTTCCACACGTGATATTACGCAAGTGGAATCAACAGCTGCCGGTATTCGGAGAATGAAGAACTAAATAAAGGAAAAGAAAGAGACTTACTAATCTTGAGTGTTCCTGATTCTAATTTTCAACAGACTGCATTAAATTTCCGGAATAGAATCAATCTTCGCTTAGGCTGGGTAAACCACAAAAACTTTTAGTCCTATTCAATCCAGATTGGACAGTGACAAAAAAAAAAGTCCGCTGCTTCAATATTAGAGATTTTGCAGAGAAAGGGGAGAACCTCCCAACCTCCGTACTGTATAATGTACTGGCAAAAAAAAAAAAAAAAAAAAAAAGGATATTATTTTGACAATTCAGTTACTTTCCTTTTATTTAAGCCATTCCGAATATTATTCCTTAGAAAGCTAATCTGTGTAAAAACACACCCATTTTTGAAGTTTATCTATACTTCAGCAGTTACTGCAACTGTATTATTATACATATTCATTCATATACTCATAATATAAGCATGTAACGATCATAATAAACACAAATATGAACTGAACACGCGGAACGAGAATGCAAATTATTAAAATCTTGATAGAAATTCAAATGTGTGTAGTATTTGGGTGGGAGGAAAAGAATACCGAATGTACCGGAATTTTCTATCGTTTTCGCAATTCTTTGACCAACAGAACGACGCGCACCATAGGTTACATTAATGCAGAGAAAGGGGGGGGAAAGCAATTTCCAGGAGTATGATTCACCATCTGACATTGCATATAAGGAAGAAAAGTTGTTTATTTAGTTTCGGCTTTGGTACAGGGGGAAAATGCATGTTCATTAAAAAAAAAAAAAGCACTAAAAGCAAAAAATAAGCACTAAAAACAAAAAAAAAATAAGGGCTTTAAAGAAAAAGCAAGCACCTATAATGGCCTTTATATTTTATTTTCAAATATAAGGACTTATAAGCACTTGTAAGGACCGCTACGAACCCTGAGATAGTATTATGTACAGTAAAGCAGAACAATGCTGTATGATTTTCATCCTTATTTTTACTAACACTAGTTCGAATTCCAGGTTGGAGGTATCTGGAACCTGCTATCTTGAGTTTATACAGGGTTTCACTGAAATTTCACTTTTAATTTTTCTCCATTTCTCTGACCAAGCAAAATGAATTAATTATCATATTAAATATAAATATCTGAATAATTTTTTGCACTTGCTACAAAATATAATGATGTAATGTAAAAGTTTATTTTATTCATTACTGTGAAGGAAATAAGGGTTAATAATTTATACGAGCCACATATTTAAGCCCTTGAAAAACAGTACACAGAATTGTCTACCGTTTCATTACGTCTAAGGAAACAGACTGTCTACTGTTAACAGACAGAATTTTAAAATGTAAGGAAAAAATTTTTAAATTATTGAGGAATATGTTTATTCTCTAAAAATATATACATACATAAATAAGTAAATATAACAAAAGACCATTCTTAATAAGCACTACAGAGTGACAATTACTGAGCTATAAGAAAAAAACATTTGATAACTTTTGAATCATTGGCAAGATTCAGTTAAAACTTGGCAGTTGAATGCACTGCAAGTTGGGAATTTATTTGAGCATGCGCACTTGTATTGTCGTAGTTCATTTTACATTGCAAATGTCAAAATATAGCATTTCAAAATCTATTATTCAAGGAATAACAGCCCAGTTGCATCTCAAAACAAATCTGCAACTGAGTACAAGTTAGAGACAACTGGTTCAAGTGTTATAACAATCAAAAATCTGATTAAGAAGCTCAAGATAACTGGTAGTGTTTGTCATTGCAGTGTTGGCAATGCTAGCCATGGAGCAAGTGTGAAAGTGCTTGAAAATATTGAGAAAACACAAACTGTGTTTCAAAAAAGGCCAAAGGGTACTAAAATGGTTGCCATATTTTTCTGATCTGAACCCTTGCGACTCATTTTGGTGGGGGAATATTAAAAACAAAGTTTATGTGAATAATCAATCCTGAGACCATCACTGAGCTCAAAACAGCAATTCAGAAGTTCATTAAAAGCGTCTATGTCTAAACACTTCAGCGAGTTAGTTTAGCAGAATTTTGCTCTTTGTCTGTGCCACATCATAGTCACTAATAGCAAGCATATCGAACATGTCATAAACTAAATCTGAATACTTTAGTTACTTTTCAAATTTGAATAAAATTTTTGAACTAAGTAGTTTTTGAGAATTTGATTTTTTATTTCATATAGCTCAATAACTGTCACCCAGCTTAATGTTTCAAAATAAAACAAAACATACTCAGAATTATATTGAACTGAAAAAAGGGTTTAACTAATGTAGTTAATTATTCATTATAACATACAACCATACAATATAGTGATTTCTAAATTACACTACAGAAATAAGAAATAAAACAATTACATTTTTTAGAAAAGACGTGAATAGCAGCTCACAAACACGTAGCTAGGAAAGCTATGGATTGATAAAACTGGATACAATAAAGTGGGTAAAATAATTTTTTATCAGATAAACAAAAAATTGAAATAATATACTTTCTTTTTTTAAAAGGTAATTTTTGTTTAGTGGTTAGTTTTAAAACAAACTTTTTATCATTTGAGAAGAATTTTTTTCTTTAAATAGTTCCTGCTTATTTAGGGAGGAGGGGATTCCTATTTGTATTTTAAATAGTTTCCTCAATTTTATCGAATCATTTTTCATTTCTCTGACTTTCATCGATTTTCCAGAATTTTTTAAGTGTATGGGAAAGCCTGTTATGTAGGAAATTTGTGTTTTTTTTTCTCAAATTCTTCTGAATTATTATTTATGACTTAATGAAAATATGTATTGGATTTATAAAATATGACACAGCACACAATGACTATTTGCTTAAGAGAAGAAATTCCTTTGTATGACTTAACAACAAATTCACTTGAATTCATCACGCATACTGGAGTTGAACTACCAGTGTTTAGCAGTGTTATCTGCTCAACTAGATTAAAAAAAAAAAATTCATTGTATTGTAGAGAAGTTTTGAATAGTTGTGATTTAAGTCGCTACTACAGATGAGGGAAATAATGCGCCACCACACTCTTTGAACCCAATTTTATCTTATCAAGATTTTGCCTTCCCCTAATCTCAAGTCAAATAACTGAAAATAAACACTCCAACAAACTATATCAGTACATGACTTTCTCGTTTAATTTTGAAGCTTGATTTGCAATGCTCTGTCTTCCTCCCCCCACCCAAAGATTTAAGCTTAGATTGTTTCAAGAAACATGCTATCATAGTCAGTAACAGAAAAAAAAAAAAAAGAGAGAAGTCAGTTATTCTGGAGAAGATGCACAGTAAAGATGTTGACTCATTTCTATCTGTAGTTCTAAATATTAAAATGATTAAAGTATTATAAAAGTAAAACAAAAACAAAGTATAAGCCCATATAAACTTACTTAGTTATCTGATTAAAATTTACATATTTTTAAGTAATAACTGATTCAGAATGGACTATCCAAAAAGAATTTTCAGCAGTACCACTAAAGGAAATACTACTGGCAAGTGTGTTAATTGTCTCTAAATTACAAATAAAACTGCTACAATTAAACAAAACACTCAGGTAAATGATTAATAATATTAAAAAGTAATATTATGCTATTACACAATCACCAGTTATTTAACACTTAGTTAAATATATTTATAAGAGAAAAAGTAGGAATAAAAGTTACTCCATTAAAGATGATAAATAGGACATTTCTATCAGGGCTGGGACCTTTCTTTTTCAGAATTTCTTCCCTCAAATCAGCCATATTTTTGGCTACCGTTAACAGAGTCACCAAGCCAGTGACTGTGGAATGAGCCCCTGGAGCTAATTTATCAAACATAGAAAAAGCATCCAACTGCAAGAAAAAGAGCATATTATCAAATAATAGCTAACATATATTAAAATACTAAAAAATATTTTTTTTAAATTTTAATCCATATTATGCCATTTTCTTCTTCATAAGACATTTTAAATTTGGCTAAGAAATGAAATTAAAATTTAACAATTTAAAGATCTTCTGCAATAAATTATAGCTACACATTTTGAAAAGTTAAGAGCAGTGAAGAAAGTTTTAATGAATAAATATAATTAAGAATTTACATTGTTTCATATATATAATAGTAATAATAAAGTTTTACAAATGTAATAAGAGCAGTTCATTAAAGTTTCATAAGTGTAATAATATTAAAAATTTATAATAAAGTTTTATAAGTACAATAAGAGTTTATAATAAAGAGGTTAACATAAAAAAATTGCACTCTAAAAAATCATTTATGTTCTGACCCCATACCTACCTACGGAGCACTCTCATCAATTCCAACTAGTAGGGGCTAGTGAAATGATTAAATTATGAGGAATCATCAATAGTAATCTAGAAATAATTTCTACCCTTTTTAGGAATCCTATACTTAATGTTAAAAATTTGAAATAGAATTTTTTAATAATTTTATTTAATGATATAAATGTGTAAGGTTTATTTTAGATTATACCTTTTTCTTTTATACTTATCTTTCCTGTAACTTTACTTCTTCCTCAGTCTCACCAGAATATAATTCAGGTGAAGTTTCAACAATAAGCACATGTGTAGTCTAGAGACAAAGCATGAAGAAAGTAGTTTATTTCATAAGCTGCTCACCTATTGGCCAGTCTAGTTTGGGAAAATATTATTTTGTATGTGCTAGCTTTTATCTTCAAAAATTGTGGACAGTAGCACATAGGTTGTTTAGGCACTAAATCTATTTGTTGTGCTGTATACAATTAATAATTCCAAGACCCAAGTAAAAAGCAGTTAAATTTTAGTTGTAACTATAATTAGTGGTTAATCATTATTAGTTATGTTTTACCTGTTGTCTATTCTCTTAAGAGTAGTTCTAGATTTCAAGTTGAACATATCTGTATTTTGGATGTGACTGGTCAATGAGAAATTATAATTAACCTTATAATCGTCAACGGATTATTTATTATAGTTAACCTTATAATCATCAATGAATTATTTATTATACTAGTCATTACATTAAACAATTCATTTTTGATATGACGTGTCTTTATATAATAATTGAGCAATATGGAACATTAAAATTAAAAAATTGTAAACTAGAAAACAAATTACTTTTAGATAAAGAAAGGAATACTTACCCTAGCTCCCACTATTATGACAGATTTATTTCTAATTTCTTCACTTTTGTTAGTTGGAAATAATGAAGTCAAAATGTTTTTGTCACTTAAAGGATCACATGTTTTAACTGTAAAACAGAAAAAATTAATATCAGACAGCAAAACTAAAATTACAATAATTTATATACTAATTTAAGGCAGTTTTTAGCCAACTTAAACATCATAATTGATAGGGTTTATTTATTTATTTTTTTTTTTTCAATGTACACAATGACAGATTTAATAAAAATTTTGTAACATAAAACCTAGAACACAAACACGTGGCACTGATAAACCCCTAATTGAAATGCAAGGTACTTACATATTTTTCTGTCAACCGTAAAAATTGGTGGAGATCCTTCCAAACCTATGTTAATAATTCTAGCAGAACTTTGAAGGCAATGATTATTTTTTATTTAATCAGATAATAAACAGATACAAGCTACAGACACAGCATGTAAAACTTTAATAAATATGAGCTTTGAGATTATCAGACAAACAAATTCTTTAAAACTTAAATTACTACAATAGCCAATTTCATAAAGGCTACAAAAACAGCAACAAAATAATTGCTAACCATGCAACCCATAAATTCACTTAAATATGAATATAAGAGATGTCGCATGTTTGTGCCACCCAGACTGGCCAATGATGCTATATTAAAGGGCTCGAGTTCAAATCCTGTAAATGGACTGCAGACATGGATGTTTATATGCAAGTAGACTTATATGCATACTGACTGTGTGGCAAGGAGACACTAAAAAACATGGCAGACTGAAAGGTCTCAAGTTGTTGGTCCAGGGGAAGAGGAGTGGGAGACCTTTGCTCCTCCCACTCTCCTTTTTCTCTCTTTTAATTCCTAATTAGAGCAGAAGCTTAACAAATTAGATAGGTACAGCTGTTATGTGTCTTTTAAAGAGACACTGTAACACACGAGATTTTTCTATCAACTTGACCTATAACCTAATCAAAAAAAAAAATCATTGCATTGTGTATTAACTGGATTAACCCTGAAATAAAACTAAGTAGTGGACTGGTGAAAGACATGAGCACAAATAAACATACCATTGACTGATCCAGTAGAATATGATTATTTATTTAACTCTTAAGCAATTTATATTTTAGAAAAATTTTAACCAGTCAGGGAGAAATAATTGAATAAAATAAAAGGTATACTTTAACAAAATAAACTCACAATTTTCCTTCAAAACATTCTGCAATATCAAACATTATATTGAATTCATAATGGTAAGCATAATCATTTACATTGTATGATAGAATAACATACCCTCCCCGGGGAGAAAAAAAAAGAAAATAATATTTAACAATTTACACTTTGCAAGAGCATTCCACACAGAATAAGCATTTATGAACTTAGTTACATAAACAAAATGATACTAATTTCTTATTGCACATTTTAATTTTTGAGTTTTGAGATGAGAGAATAAACCGGAATGATACTAATTTCTTATTGCACATTTTAATTTTAGAGTTTTGAGATGAGAGAATAAACCGGGTAAAATATTTAAAAATAAAATCAGGCTTTACATCTTAACAGACAACTTATTCCAACAACGTAGTAATGAAACCCAATTAATTGCACCTGATATAAAAATCTTAACGATAAAAAAAATTTTTCTGCTTTAATTAAATTATTTAACTAATAATATATTTCCCTACCCATTCTTATTAAGTTACCTATAATAAGAAAAAAAACTTTCTTAAGTACAGAAGAAATAGTGCATAATAAAATAAATCAACCATTAACTATTAAGAAAAAAATAAAAAATCACTTAGCTGTCGCTTCTAGGAGGCCTGGTTGGTGAGGTGGTCAAAGAAGAATTTCTTAATTTAACAGGTCACAACTTAAAACCCAGATGACTTGTAGAAAGTTCTATGGAAACTACTGTCATTGAATTTCTTGAAGTATAAGCGTAAAAATTACTTAAAACCCGGATGGCTTGTAGAAAGTTCTATGGAAACTATTGTCATTGAATTTCTTGAAGTAGAAGCGTCACCAGCATTGACCTCAGTTGAAGAAATTTTAGTTGGATGAATTCTTGACTCCTTAAGGACTAGCACTGGAGCAGGTTATCGACAATTTTCAGCATAGATAGCATCCTTGAAGATGGCTCTGCAACAGGTCATCAGTTTTGACAAGATTTTTTTGGTTTTGTCTGAAGATCACCGAGTGCTGGACATAAGCCGTTGTTAAAATATTTCATGTGGGTATTCACAGCAGATAGAACATTTGAAACTTATTGATAGTAAACGAAAAAAAAAAAAATTATGCAGATGAAAATAAGGCTGAAGAAAATTAATCTGTGGCATTTTTCTTTCGAGGGCAAGAGCCCCGTAGATCACGCGGGAGAAACTCCGCCATTTCTTCCTTTTAGCCGGCTCGCAGAGCATGCACCTCTAATCCCTGAGAACAGCTTAATTCGCGGCTCAAAAGTGTAATAAGTGAAAAAAAGTCAAAAGTGACCTCATCCCACAAAACAACCCGTTAAAAGGGAGAGCACCGGACTGCCAACTTGGCCCAACTCACTCCTCGCCAATAGTTAAACCAATTGCAACTACAGCATTCCTTCGTGTTAGCAAACTCGCCAAAGCCACCACTTTGAAACCCCAACGGAAATTCTAAGTCGCCAAATAACCACACCTAGTGAAGGAAGAAAACTTCGAATTTAAACAACCCTGTAAGCAGTCCCAATGAAGGAACGCTGAAACTCGAAAAAACGACTATTTTACCGGAAAAAAGAGCACTTCTTCCCCAAAAGGAGAAATCACAATGAAAACGGAAAAAGAAACTATTAATTAAAGCTCATAACTAAAATGCAATTAAAGTTATGAAAACGAAAGTTATGTCAAATTAAAGAGCTAATTTTTCTGCAACTAAAGATATTAAATACTAAGAAATCAAATTAATTTTTAACCTGAAAAACTGAGTTTATTACACAAAAATTTACCTATATCCATTGTCTGAGTGTACAAGATTGAAGATGCAGTTCGCGTAAACTCGAATAGCTGAAATAGATTACACTAGAATTATTAAGCCAAATAAAAGAATATAACCAAACTTGTTGTGTAGCTCAAATTTTGAATAATTACAAATTAAAATTTTGATTTTTATGAATCACTTAATTAAATTAAATTCGCTACACAACATTCCTCCTATGATCGGGAATTTTTGGCTTTTATAAGACCCACAGACAAAAGAAAAGGTTTACATAACAAACCAGTTAAGAAAAAAAAATCATACTAGGTCTTTGTATCACGTTAAGTGCCATAGAAATAATCAACTCAAAACTAGTTGTCACGGAGAGCAGTGATAAAAAAAATTTAAATTCAATTACAAAGCACAAAGTTTAATAAATTAAATTCAAAATCTAATTCCAACTCGAAAAACCAAGAAAAGACTAATTATTTGGCTTCTTAACAGTGAAATGGTTTACGTTTGGAACCAATACTGAAAATAGTAGCAAAAAAAATTTCAAAATTACTCTTTTAATCACACTTTTGAAAATCCAATTTTTAAACATTAATGGGTTAATATGAGAGCAAAAAGATTAATAACTTTGCTGCTAAATTTGACAAAATAGAGTCTGTGTGGCAATAAAAAACTATAGAGTGCAGTTAGCAATAATATAAAAATTTTTTTTATCAGAAATCAAAATATTGATATAAAATGTTAATGAATAAAATATAAGCCTAGTATCCCATGAACTTTAACTATTATTATTTAGAAATATGATTAAAGTGTCAGACTTTTTTAATTAACTTGAGACACATACCTTCATTCAGATTAGCAACAAGCTTATTACGTCGCATGCACGTGTTGCTGTCCTTAGCAGCCAACATAACACTTGTCATCTGAACAGAGCAAAGAGGCCAATCCTTCATTGTACCATTATTGAATTTTTCAAAACACTGAAATACGTATAATGATATTTCATTGTGTGCATGGATGTAAAAAAAAACTTAAGTCAAATCACACTTATAAACTACATAAAAGCTTCACAAAATTGTTACATCTGATTCCTTTCTTATTGATGAATAATAAATTACTGAAAATATTACTTAAAATTTACAAGTAAGTATCCAATAAAAATCAAAACCAATTTCATTTCTAGGCAACATTAAGAAGGAACTGAAATTATCTAGACTATTTTTTCAATGCAACCGTATCACTGAAATATATTTTCCTTCATATGTATACAAGCAATAGTATGGAGTTCTGTTGACTGATCCCTAAATTAATGAAGAGATGCTTGAATCACTACAATCAATTAAAAAAAATTTTCCTTTAAGAGCCAAAGGTGAAAATTATTCACAATGAAGTCACAGCTGTAAAGTGGGTATGCCAGTACTACCAGTGGAACTGGGTAATACTGCCTTTTGATGTTTGCATTATTATGTCTTATATTATTATGTTACAAAATAACTTTATTGAACAATAACGCAAGTTTCTTGAAAATGGAATACCAAACATTATTAAAAAAGGTGTGTGGAACAGTATTCAACATTTACAGTATCTGATTTTTTTTTCTTTTTTTTCTTTCTTTTTTTTTTTTTTTTTTTAGAAATCCAAATACACAACACAATTTTGATCTCAAAAAACTACTGTTGTGACATTACCCATGCAAAATCCTGTACAAAATTTCATTGCAGGCAGTTAATCTGTGTTTCCATTACATTGTTGGCCACCCCTTTTATATAAAGATGTATAATTAAGCATCCATGCTTAACTGTTTATAATGATTCAGCACAGAAAACTGGCAAAGTAATGTTTCATACAGAACCAGGACTTCTTGACAATGTCAAATTTTAACATGCTTTCAAATTATAACCAAAATTTAGTAATTTTCAGCATACATCAACAAAACACTTTAAAAAACTCAAGGGTGATCCCTGATGATTATGACTACAGAAGTTTTTCTTACAATAGTAATGATTCAAACACAGTAATTTTCTAATCATTCAAAATCACCTACTTATAATAACATTTTTCAGTCAATTTACATGCGAGTCATTCTCAATTAATCCAACGACCATCATAAAAGTCATAATTTCAAAAACACGCGGGCATGCAACAACTTATTTTTCTAACAATGCATGATGAATTTCAGAAAGGATTTGAATCTATTTTCAACAGAAATTTCATAATCTGTGTTCCAGATTTCATTCTGATACCACCTTAAACACCACAAAATGAGAAAATTGGACTATAAATATCCAGATTCTGCCCTTAAGAATATGTAATTCACTTTATACAATACTATGTGGAATCTGACACTTTACATAATACGAGGGCCATCCAGGAAGTAGATTACGTTTCCGTCTGTGTCCGCTAGGGGCGGCGCTAGCGCGGCCATCTTGGGGTCAGAGCGTTGCGCAGCTCAGTCTGCATCTAGCCGTGCTAGTGAGAGGTTCATGCTGTGCTCCGTTCAGATACTGTGACGGTTTGAAATGTCTGCGTTAATTGAAAATCCTGCGAGCTGCGAGGTGCGCTCAGTAATAAGGTTTCTGACTGCAAAAAACTGTAAACCGATAGAAATCTATCGGCAGCTTCGTGAAGTGTATGGGGACAACATTATCACTGAAGGTGGAGTGCGTCAGTGGGTCATAAGATTTCAAAATGGCCGAACCAATGTTCACGACGAAGATCGAAGTGGGAGACCCAGCATAGTGACCGCCGAACTTCTCGAAAAAGTCGATGCTAAAGTCCGTGAAAATCGAAATTTCACAATAACGGAACTTTCTTTGAGTTTTCCACAAATTTCGCGAAGTTTGTTGCACGAAATCATCAGCGAAAAGCTTGGTTACCACAAGTTTTGTGCAAGATGGAAGGCAAGAAGAGGTAATGAAGTGGTTGAAGGCGCAGGCGGCCGAATTTTTCGACGAAGGAATTTCCAAGCTCGTACATCGCTACGATAAATGCCTTAATTTGTATGGTGACTATGTAGAAAAGTAGTATTTGAGTGTGGCTTTCATCTGTATATAATAAAATTTGTTTCCTATACTTTGTTTATTTTTTTATTCCAAAACGTAATCTACTTTCTGGATAGCCCTCGTATATGGAACTTCCATCAACAGAATATCCAACATACGTAATTCACTTTGGAAGAGTTACTAAATAATTTTTATCTTTGAGCTTAAGGACAAAATCTGAACATTTACAGAACATTCTAAATTAAAAAAAAAAAAAAAAAAAAAGATAAATAGATAGACAGATAAATGAATAAAAAAATATGCTGTGAATGTGAAATATTAAAGACTGTCTCCGGACATTAAAACATTGAGTAAATATATTATTTCCGACCAAATCACATCACAATTTTTTATTAAATCTTTATTTGTAAAAGCACTGTTAATTTAATAATTATTTATGTGATCTTACATAGCATAATTATTTATTAAAACTTACAGATTAAAATAACTAAATTCTTCTAACTTAGTACATAAAATTAGATTGGATTGGATTGGATTATTTAATTATGGCAAAGCACATGAGGGCTATCTGCCTAAAGGTACGGATGCCTTCGTGGAGGACTTTCTAAGGGGGACTGGCTCGTATACACGTTACACATGTAGAAAACCATGAAAATACCCATGCAGCCAGCCCATTTACGGGGTTCGAACCTCAGATCGAACTACCAGCGTTCAGCATCTTTACCACTTGGCCGCTGGTGGGCCATAAAATTAGAAATTACATCTAACATACTGAAGATAACATTAAGTAGTTCAATTTTCTTCAGCATCACATTATTTAAAATACATAATTTATCACATATGCAAGAATTTCAGTGTATTACATGTGAATGTAGTATAAACTACAAGAGATGAGTTTCAAATACTGATGTTCCAATGAACAGATTATGTTAATTACAATTTATTCACATCAAATATATCCCCTATAAGCGAAAACTGCTGAAAATAGAAACATTAGAGATTTAAATTAATTGTATAACGCATTTTCAATACATCTCAGGAAAATGTATTTCATTGTATGGAGAAATATGCCTATGAGTAATCACTGATGTAGTGATTTTTGATCCAAACAAAAACCAAATTAAATGAAATCACATAAAAAATCAAAAATATTTATTTATATACCTAAAGACATATAATTTGCACAGAATCTTCTTGTATGGCACCTAATTCGGCATTTCTAAACACACTATTCATTTATTATTTTACACAGTTATTTTCTGCTTATTTTAATGCCATGCCAAATTTATTATACTTAATAGAATAGAAAGAAAAAGAACAGCACTTAACCCTCTGAGTGCCATGCCCGACTTTATCCGGTCATCAGACTTTTTGTCACATGGCATATATTATCTCCTCATTAAAATATTTTGTTTTCTTACTTTTTTAATAAAAAATATCTTAATAATTGTAGGTTTATGAAAATAGAGACTAAAATAAGTAATTATACAAATTTAGCTAATAAATGCTGTTTACATAGAGGTCTTCATGACAGATATAAAATCCTGTGCTGTTCAGATTAAATAACCAAAAAGTTAACTTGCAATTTTATGTTTTCATGTTAGAGTGAAATACTTCAAAGAACAGTTTACAACTAGCAATTTTTAAAAACTAAAACAATATACAAATGCTTCATTTTTTAATAAAACAAAAATCCACTGTTGCCAATTCATAAAGTCTTCCACCTTTTCTACTGACAAATTAAAATTCAACAGAGAGTTTCAATTTTTAAAAGATCTGGCATCTGTTTAGCATTTATTTTGCTATAGGCACAAGATATTATCAAAACATTAAAAATTATATTAACATTTACATAAAATTAAAAAAAGGAGAAAGAAAGAAAAAAAAAAGAAAAACATACAAAAGACTGTGATCGTCTACACTCTATAAAATTTCATTATAACAATTTGATTTTATTTTGAATGCAAATGGCAGCATGCAAGAGAACTAGAATTTGAAATTTTACAATTGAAAAAATATTAAAAAATTATTTATAATAATTATGATAAAAAATAACATCACAAAATGCAATTTAAAAAATTTACAAAGACAAATGCAAGATATTATGTATTATTAACTGGCATCAGTTTACTTTCACATTTGTATTTATTTATGCATATTTTATTACTAACTTGCATTCTTGGGAATTTTGGTCAGCTTTTTAATTAGCTGTTAAGTATTTTAGTTTACAAATGTAAAAAAAACTACTATTATTCAAGTTTTGGAATTTATGAACATTTTTCTGCATTTTTTGTTCTTTAATTTATAAAACACATTACAAACTAATCTAAACCTAAATAAATGCATATGCACTCTTCATGAAAGTAAGGGGGATGATTTCCTAGCAATGGTAAAAGCGGTGCATGCAACAAAAAGAAGTTAACAACTATACTAACTGCAAAAAATAACACCTCTTCAGTGTATTAAAATGATAAATTTTGTACAGAAATACTACATATTCAAAAGGAAATTACATTAGATAACTTACATTTCTTATACTCTGTATATTAGATTCATTGGTGATAATGAATATAGGCATTCCCCAATCTTCAAACATCATACCTAGGGCTTCATTCTCAGGAAGGCGATTCCATTCTGTTTTATTGCATGCTGCATATTGCTGGTTCATCTTCTCTGTGTAAAAACCTGAAACATTTTTAAAAAAACTACATTTATTAAGATTTCAGATTCTTCATAAAAAGTTACACAAAACAATATTTCACAGTATGTCAGTATCTAAGCTATCAATGTTCAAGGATATTCCACAGTATAGCATAATATCACTCATATAACTAAATTTATATTCCACAATGGGTCTACAGAAGCACGTTACAGAAAATTTAACCAGGCTAGTTGATGCAGGAAAAGTATTTCTATTTTTCATCTACTTTCAACCAGAATATTACATCCCAAAAGTTTAGAATATCAGTTTTTTCTTTTTGTTTATAAGAACAAGTGTCTAAAAACTTTACAGTTACATAATCTCTCTGAATGACACTTTTTCTAAAGATAAATTTGAAAATAATGAATCAATATTTCACAATTCAGAAATTTTGGATTTCAGCAAGCCAAAAATCTGTAATTCCAGCTAAACCTGAAACACATTCACCCCAATCCGAGACTTTTATTTATGACCCGGTTGTTTTAATAGTTTTTCTTTGTAACCTAGTACAAATGTTTATGGTTTGTAAGGATTTTAAGTTTTACTAGCATTTATTTTAAAACTTTACTGTCCCCTTTTGTTTTCCACTTCCGGCCAGAATAAACGAGGTTTTTTAGTATGCAAATTGAGCTTGCAAACTGTTAAGTATTTATGTTGTGGCTTTTAGACAAGAAGGAGCTAGAAAGAGAGACTTCTTCCTACCTTATCTCACGTGCGCTTTTCAGTCAGTTGTTGTCCGCCTTTAAGGCCAGAAATTTAGTCCTCTTGGTACTGAAGACGTATCGTAGTTTTCCCGCATTCTGCGTACTACATACGTAAAGATTAAAAGGCTAATTTTAGCAATACTAGTCTTTGTAAAGTATTTGAGTTTAGCTCTTACTTAAATTTAATTAGTTTGTAGTTCTTATTTTTTAAGGTTCAGACCATAAATACTGGTCTTTGTATCCCAAAGTGCAGGAGCAGCTGTAAACTGCGAAGAATAAAGAGTAGTTAAACCGTTCCCACTTGTGTTGTATCTTCTACACTTTCAGGAACATAGCTTTCAGTAAATTCCCTGTTCTTACTCAGGACTCCAACATGCTTACCAAAACAATTAGGTTTTGGTAAACATGTTTACCAAATTAGGAAAAAAAAAAAAACGTCCTGATAGGATTACTGGTAAATTAAACATATGTTAACATTTAAATACTTTTTCACTATTGGAAAAGTAACAAAAATCAGGATTCGTACACACTTCTGCACATGGAAATTAAGTACTTTTAAGGACCATTAATGAAAAAAATTAAGGACCTATCAGCAAACTGGAGTTGAATAAATTCAATTAAATTCAATCAACTTATGTTTGAACTTCACTTTTGTAATACCACTCTTAGAATAAAATAGATCCTTTCTTATTAAACATAATTTAATAAACATAACTATAAAACAAATTTGAGAATAAAATCCACTTTATAAAATTTATCAAGTAACATTAAATATTTTACACGTATAATAGTTGGAAATATTTGAAAGATAAGTGACATTTTATTTGCGTTTTACTAACAGCTAGCTTTATGTTGATTTTTTCTTTTATGTCTCATTTTGCCACGTACTTAGTGTAGAAGTTTAGTAAATAGCAGGTGGATTTTATATCAAACGGCATAAGATAAAATGAGAAATAAAATTATAATCAGCATGATTCGTAACAGAAGATTGGTTGTTGCAGTGCTGCTGCTTGACAAGAGAGAGACCTGTTGATCAGAACAAACCTGAAAGCCTGATGTTGGCAAGTTTTGAAAGTTAATTGTGCTCCATCTGTCTGAAGCAGTTAGTGTTGTAGCTTCATGTAGAATTTCTGGGACTGTAACCCAGCATTATTTTAAGTCTCACTAGATGCAAAGAATAAGTTTTACATGAATTTTTACATCTTTGTGTTTTATCTTGTGACAATGGTAAGGATTAATGAAAGGCAATAACTTGTTTTAATAAGCAGGGATAACTTTTAAAAATGACGCAGTTACTTACAAATAATTAAATTATGTAGTTAAATAGCCTTAGCTGTTATATATTTACATGACCACTGTTAAATTTTAGTTTTAAAACATTTGTTAGAAATCCCAATCTAATAACATTTCACAGTTTAAAATGCATGTATTTTAAGACATAACGGTATTAGGATAATTACACATTAAAAGCTACGCAACAAAATATTTATGAGTCTTTTTACTTTGAAGCCTTCCCAGATATTTTGGCTTAATTTATGCAAAGTTTCTTCTCTTTAAACATCTTTTCTAGCAATTAGAAATCTATTTCAATACACAAACCAATGTTCCCACTAGTTTCTGCTTGCTTTATCTACTGATTTGGTAATCTCTTAACAGTGTACCTAACGAGGTTTTACTTGATCTGCTGATAGTTAATAGTCAAAAACATCCAATAGACATGAAGCAAATTATCACTATGTCTGAAAGTAAAGTCACAAAGGTTTAAGTAAACCTCTTATTTAAAAAGAACTTAGAACATACAGGCATGTTCTAATGTTGATAAAATTAACTACAGTTTGTGGTGATGCAATTAAACAGGGACAGTCAAATTCAAACTAAGAATGTGGACTAGTAATGAAAGACTACACAATTTAATTTTAATCTAAGCTGGCTCAGTAACTCTATCGTAGTAACAAATTCAAATGTTAGCAGCGATAACGCAAAGATGAATAATTACAAATTATCAGAACTGGCAGGAACTAAGGCAAAATTCAAATGGAGGACAAAAACACTCTGTCTTACAATCTAAAAAACCTCAGTTTAAAAACTATCTGATTTGCATTACGGTGAGGAAACGAAAAGGGGAAGTTATAGTAAAGGCTAAAATTGTAAACAACTGGTTAATTTGCATAATAATAACTGTACATATCTTTGAAGAATAATTTGTTTTCCTCTTTACGTATTCAGTTTCTTTCTTCAATATGTTTCCCCTTCACTTTAGAATTTTTGGAATTAATTAAAGATTTCTGTTATTCTAAAAAACCAGATGCATTTAGAATGTAAAGAAAAAGATGAACATTCAGAATAAATATGAAACGATATATGGTAAAGGCTGGTTTCAGAGCTGATGAGACAGAATTTTTAGAATTTAATGACACACCGAGCAACAAACTCTAGAAATGGCAAAACTTCTAGAATTCAGGACAGGCACTGGGAGCAAAATTTAGGACAGCACTAGGCAGCATAATTTAGGAAGGCACTAGAAGGCAGAATTTAGGATCTACAGAGATTGCATCAGGTGGGAAAATGCCTAGCGCCAGCCCTGTGTATGATCTATTAAGACATATTAAGTGCATCTTTTACTTGTCAGTTTTCAATATCTTTACTAATGGAAAAATTCTTTTTTATAAATGCCTATCCATGGAAAGTAATGTTACTTTATAATATGACAGCAAAAAAAAATGAAAATGTTTTATTTTAATGTTATTCCTTAAACATAATTTCAATATATTATCATTATTTTAGTTAAATTTATCAATGTTCTGTTTCAAAAAAATCTTCGAAAAATTCACAGATATCCGAATTAAAAATTTTCTATCGAAACTGATCTTAAAATCACCAAAATGTTGATAAGTCGTCAAATTTTGAGCCATTTAATAAAAGAATTTACATCATCCCCAAAAGCGGAAAGTTGTTTAAGAGCTCTTCATTAAGAAAAAAAATTAAATAATTTTGAAATGCTTATGTTTAACTCCTTGCTCAAAAACTCCAGTATCACACCCTTTATATTAGAAAAACAAAACAAATTATAACCCATGGACCCATTCAAAAGATAATATTTGTCAGAGAATAGCCAAAAATATTCCACCAAAATGATAACTTACTCTCAAAATAGCAGTCGTAAAAAGAATGCAGAAATTTCAGATGATTAAATCTAAGGACCTTCTGCCAATTTTGGCTGAAATTAAGGACTTTTAAGGACTCTTATGGACCGTGCGAATCCTAAAAAATACATATGAAAATGTAAAAGAATAAAAAAGTTTTAATGAGAAGTGTGCTGTTGTTTCTCATTAACTAGAACTTTCAGGTCTACAGAAAAAGATAACTTTATTCTTAAATTTATTTAGATATCTAACTAGTTTCTGTATTTATTTTTTAGAGAAACAAATATCAAGAAAGCTGTTTCAGTTGGTAATTTGTTACAAAAAGCATTAGAAATTTTTAAATGCCCTTTACACCAAAAATGCATTCTCTTGATGACAGGATAGCCAAATATATATCAATAGTACTTTTCAAAGCTCCTTCCAGTGCTAAGACAGTTCAGTCAGTTCAGATATGGATTCAATATTTGAATCTAACACTTCCATCTCTAATATTTTTTATTTATCATGAAAATGTTTTTGATCCATGCTTCGTTGCTATAGATTAGAAGGTTTGCAATCCTATCAGATATTAGTTGATAACAACTGAAATTTCATCAGGCATGAAACTATCTTAATTTCGTATTCTTTTTACACTTCAGTTAGCTTCATAAAAGCATTGTAATCTTTTGTTTTTACACGAAGAATCCACAAACTGAGCTTTTAATTGCACCATCCATCTTTACTTGTAATTTATGTAAAAAAATCTATAATGTTAAAAATATAGGATAATTTGATCAACCAACTAATATCTTTAAATTCCAGTACAGTAATAGCCCAACTATCCAGAAAGCTTGGAAAATGTCAAATTCCAGATAGTTGAGGGTATGACAAAAGGAATTCACAGTTTTATAGATCCCTAAACTGGTGTGCATGTATAAGTTAAAAAGAGATGGGCCAAATAATATAATTAGAATTAAAGAGGAATGCTGTGACACCATTTGGAGATCTATATTGCCAAATCCAGGTGGTGACAGTGTAAAGATAGAGAAGTGTTTCAAACTTATTCTTTCAGAAAATCAGAAATTGTGGACTCATAAAATTTCTAATATTTCATATTGGCATACTTTCTGTGAGATTTTGATGATTTGGTTGCTCTATAAACATTAACTTACATATTTGTTGTCATGCAAATTACTGAATGTAAATTTAGTACAAATGTTAAGCACAAACACTTTCAGACTGCAAACTCCATCACCCTCCTCAAGTTTCATATTTCCAAGAAGAGATATATTAAATATAACAACATACTGTATCTGCATAAAATTAATACAATCTTAGTTAGGCTACTATGAAGATAATATACCAATTGCTTGTGACTGCTGATAAAGGGTGACATTATGAAAATTTAATGTCAACAACAATGAACAACAGGTTACAATAAGATAAGTACTTCAAAAGAAGTCATTTGACTTCTAATGTAACAGAGTTCAAATTCAAGGAGAGACAAGCTGTGAAGAATAATAGTCTGACATGATTTTGAACCTGACTGTCAAATTGTACTTGTGAGAAATCAAAAAGGCTATCACATTGATTTGCTCACGTTAAAAGTATATTTCACGATAAAAAGATACAAGTAGATTCTGGATGGTATATCAACAGGTACCAGTTAATATACAACTTCCTCTTTTTTAAAAACTCATATTTTTAATCTGCACTATTGGAGTCATGCAACACTTTATGTACCATGCTACATTAATTAATTTTGTATTCCAATAAACTTATACGAGGCTCAGTTCACAAAGAAGGTGAAAGTTTTATTGCTATGCCAAATGCCATTATGTAAGGGCAGAATCCATAATTCAGCTTTAGAAAATAAGATACTTAAATATTCAGTTGACCATGTTCAACATATAGATTTTTAAGGCTATGGGTTAAACATTATTTCTTTTGCATTTTGAACAGCTAATTAAAATTTGGTGCCTGACTTCTACAGAACAATAAGCAAAGAATATGTGTTAATTTGCAGGACTAATTATTTTGCTACGCATACTCAAATCAATGAAAGCGTGAGGTTCAGTAAAATGGTGACATAAAAGACATGTGTACCATGCTACATTAATTAATTTTGTATTCCAATAAACTTATATGAGGCTCAGTTCACAAAGAAGGTGAAAGTTTTATTGCCATTTTAAATGCCAAATGCCATTATGGTTGCAGAAATGTCTGGTTTTAATAAATTTATCAATCAATTTCAAACCTTCATGCCATTTTTTATATGCTATATGCTTGTAACTGCTTATTATCTAATTAAATAAACAGCAATCTATAATAACCTAATTTAGTAAAGAGTGGCCTATTCCTTAAAACTTCTGCCAAAATAGTCAGCACATGGTTGCTGGGATTTCTACCATCATTCATAGTTGAAAGAAAAATCCAAACATACGAAAAATAAAAATTAAAGAACGAAAAATAGAATTTTAAGAATAAAAATAAAAGAATTTAAAGAAAATTATCCATATTTGTTGGTACTATTGAATACCTTGTATATAAAAAAAGGGCATACCCATTTTTGTTAACGGAATCAGATCCTTCAAAACCTATTCTTGGGTCATTTACAAAGAAACTTTTCATACAATGTAAATAAATCATTAACTGTTAAATCAATAATAAAAAATAAAAAAATGGTAGAGTAGATTGAAGGGTGCCCCTTGGATTATTGCTAAGTTGCTGTTTCATTTAACGCCAAGTTGTTGTTTCATTTATGGTAACCTGAGTAGTTGAATGCTATGGAAACACTATTATGACATAATTGGATGCATGATTGCAGTGAATTTGAGTGATGGGATGGATTTTATTATTTTGTGATTTACATGGTAAAATGGCTGAATGCTGTAAGATTAATTTGAAGTTTCTGTACGATTTCAAATGAAAGAGAAAAAAGCATTAATTGACTGGTGTGTAAATGAAGGTTTACTTAGTTGCCATTATAAATGTCCTGTTTGTAGGAAGGAAATGCGTATGGTCAAGCGTCAGACACCAGCACTACGGAGGATATTTTTTACTCTTATTTTTGTGAATTTATGTGGCGACGCCAGTATACAGATTCTAGTTCATATAATTTTAGGAAGTTTTTGGTTGCTGTTAAGGAATTTCATTTGACTGAAAACAGAGAAATTTGTAAATAAGGTAAGTGGATATTTCCTAAGATGAATTTCCTTTTTTATGTTTTTTCATTGTTTGATTTAAAATGTAGTTTATCGAGATTATATATTTTTCGTTGGCTGTTTCTTTGACTTTTTAAGTGAATATAGATCGATGTGTACATGGACAAAGTCAAGGGCGTGCACGATGCCTAGTTTGTGTAATTCTCCCATGTTTTTTTAAGTGAAAATAGGCCGATGCGTACATGGATACGTAGTTTGTGCAATTCTTTGACTTGTTGCTTAGGATTTATGTAGCAGCTATTTTTGCACCAAAATAACAAGTCAAAGAATTGCACAAACTCGTTGTCCATGTACCGCTAATCATCGCCAAGAGGCACCCATAAATATATTTTTACCAAAAAAATTACCATAATTTCTGTTGGGGCATGACTGATCTGGAGAAAAGCTTTTTACTGGAGGCAATTTCCTGGATTTGAAAATCAAAACTCCCCTTATCTTTTCAGACAACTTTATTTTTTTCATATTTCGCCTAGAATGATAACATCAGTTAGAAGAATACAGAGTTTTAAAAGTATAAAATATGAATGTCTGAAAAAACTTACATATTAAATAAATTAATTGGCATGGCTACAACAAAAGGCATCGGAGGTGGATCACTTGTAATATTTTCAAATTCTTCATCTGTGTCCAGCACATATAATACACCAACATTTCCACTTTTATGAGCTTAAAAAGAATAAAATAATATTAGCTTTTAAATAATAAATTAAAAGGGAAAAAGTAAAAAAAAAAAAAAAAAAAGAGAAACCTCTGAGAATTTTTTTAACAAGTCTAGGAATAAAAAATTATATAGTAAAAAAAAATCAGATATGGTGTACAAGCACTTTTTCTTCAGATTGAGATTCCTACATATCTTTTTCAAACACCTACCAAATATGAAATCACACCATAGCTAATGACAATACACTGATACTTTTGGCCCTTGGGCAACTGTATACGGGGTTAAAATTTTTATATTTGACTTAATAAATGAAGCCCCAGGACATATTTGTTTGTTTTGAACGAAATGCTGCTTATACTAGCTTTTATGTGCTGGTACAGCAGCAAAGAAGACAGAAAGAATTAGATTCTAAAGAAATTCAGTTAAGATAACAAATTACACTCTTCCTTTTCATTTGATTCAGCTTATTATTATGGCTACCTTATCAAAAATTAAAGTTTGAATTTCTGATTCTGGAGCTGTAGTAGGATCTCCAAAGCAAAAGCATACTTGATACTTGGGAAAATCTCATATAAGCGGCACTTGGGCACAATTTTTTCCGCCATCTTGAATTGTGAAAAATTGCTGTATCCTCAGAAGGAATGTTTTTAAGCCAAGAGGGAAATGGGATTAAAAGGCACTTTACAAAAATTCCCTCTTCAACCTAATACTGAGGAAAAAGCTCTGCTGGGAGAAAATCGCGTAAGGCAAAGTGCAGTGTGTGCGTTGAAAAGGTAAATGATACACATAGAACAAATTGTAAACAATAAGTTATTGTTGTGATTAAGTAGATCTACGTACTTTTTTTCATCTTGGTATTTTAGATTATGATACATATAACTCCAGCATTATTAACTTTTATACTTCTCTTTTTTTAATTCTTACCATAATTTGAACAATTATCCGTAATAATAGTTATGTATGTTTGAAAATAAGTTCTTTATGTAAATGCAGTAATGATGACAAAAAATGCAATATAAATCACATAATTAAAGATATTTTAAAAAATAAAATATGCATGTATTTCCACAACAATATTACATCCTCGAAATATATTCCAGGCTATTCAATCATTATCCAGTTCAGTTTTATATTGGACATTACGGATTCTTTTATGCACATATTTCACTTAATAAGATTAAGAGGGTTACTTTTATTCTGCTTTTCTTGTTTAAGTGCAAAAATAGTTTTCATGTAGGTAAACAAAGAAATGTAATCCTGAATTGCATAACTGCAAGGAAACAAGATTTGTAACAAGCGCTCCTATGACTTTTCACGACGTTATGCTATTGTTTAAATTTCGAAAGGAGGCCAATCAAATAGAATGGGATAATGTTAATTGAATTGGTCTGTATTTATTCCATGAAAAGTTAAAAATCATAAAATATTATTTATGTGCAATCTGAACGTTGTCTATAACAGTGGTTTCAAACTGGCGGTGCCCTGAAGCAATTTTATGCAGTTGGCGAATGTACTTCAGTCATGCATTTGCTGCAAATACAGTGATGCAAAGATTTCTATGTTTTACTTATTTGAAGTCTGAGTTTACATTACATTTATTACTATTAAACATGAACATGAGTAACGTCAGAAAAATCTATAAATATAAATCTTATTCAAAGATTTGAAGATACAAATTTAGTTAACTTTTATTCTATTTTTGTGAAAAAAATAAAAAGAAACCTTTGCTCATGTTTTGGCTAATGGTTTAAATTTTTTAATGATATACCCAACTTTTAATCCACAAAATCCTCTATATAAAGAAATCAGTGAAATATGCTTCACGTAGAAAAATAGCAGAATCATTTTTGTTTAATACAGTACAAAAGCCCGTAATTCAAACATCCATTATCCGGAATGATCTATAATCTGGACCTCAAAGACAAAAACGTTTTTTGTATGCTTTACGCATGCGCATAATGCATTCACACATGTACGTTTAATGTATAACTGACAATATAAGCTAAGCTAAAACTATCTTTACTAATTCTAAGGCATTTCAGTTAATGTTGCAGACTGCGCTGTTCCTTAATCTTCTAATTGGATCCGGCTTATTATTTTTTGCAGACTGTTAGAGCAATTTTATAAAAATTAAGCTTGAACTTTCAATTATGTCAAAAATAGTTTCCAATTCTGGAGCTGCCAAAGGATCTACAAAAAACATGTTTCGATGTCCATCGAACAAAAAGTGGAACTGTTGCAAAAAATGTATAAAAGCATATCCGTCTCAAAATTATGCGAGGAGTATGACATTGGAAAGTCAACTGTATATGACATAAGCAAAAAGAAAAAGGAACTTTTTGAATTTTTTGTAGATTCCGACACCCCACTTGCAATGAACAACAGAAAAAGGGTCGGTTATGCTAAAAGTGACGATCACTGAATGGGTCAGACAGCGTCGCAGCGAGGGCATGCCATTGGCGGGTCCAATGTTAATCACTCAGGCCAAAATATTTCATGAAGAATTTAACTTAAACACTGAGTGCACATATTCGACAGGTTGGTTAACCAAATTTAAAAAGTGCCATGGTATATAAATTCATACATTCATTAAAAACAAATTCCTCTGCAAATTGTTCAGCAGCTGATACTGAAGCTGCTGAACAATTTGCAGATGAATTCATTGAACTCCTTACTAGTGAACAATTATCTCCAAAACAAATTTACAACACTGATGAAACTGGTCTCTTCTGGCAATATGACGACATCGAGCGTTTAAAGGAGTAACGATTTTCCCCGTTATATATCGTGCAAATAAAAGAGCATGGATGACATAAACGTTGATGAATGATTGGTTTGAAAATCATTTTATACCCGAGGCTTGGCGACATTTGAATTTGGTTGGTTTACATGATGACTCAAAAAAAGTCCTGATTGTTGACATCTGTTCGGTGCATACTTCACTTGAAGTTTTAGTGAAAGATAATGTATCCGTATTATTCTTCCCTCCAAATCGTACGTCTATCATTCAGCCTATGGATATAGGAATAGTGCACACGCTGAAATGCAAATATAAAGTAGTACTTTTAAAATCTATGTTAAATTTCTTGAACAATGGCAAGACTATTCAAAACTTTTTGAAATTTTTTAGCATAAAATCTGCTGTGTAGAGCATCACAAGACCGTGGAAGGATGTGTCGCCTGATACGTTAAAAAATGCTCGGCATAATTTATGGCCAGCTACCATATTTATGGTGACGACGATGAAGGACGATGATGATAACCGTGAATTTAAAGGTTTTCGGACATCACAAACTATGGTGAAATTTTACAGTTATTGGATTTTGTGGAGAAGCAGTAATAAATGAAGATGATATAACAGAAGTTTTTCATTGCGATGACAATGCCCCAATCATCAATCAATTAACGGAAGGTGAAATCTGTAGTATGGTTCTAGATCCAATAAATACTGCTTTCGCTAGTGAAGAAAGTGAGAGAGAGGTTATTGAAAACGAAAAAATTTTAAATGACAAGTTAGTCAGTATTATCGACACAGCAATTACAGGACTTGAACAGTGGAACTTTGTAACTGAATAAGAAATTATATCGGTTTATAAAATTAAAGAGAAAGTATTAGCACAAAAAAAGTAGCAACTTAAACAACTTACATTGAAAGAAATATTTAATAAAGTAAACAAATAAATATTAAGAATTTTTTTGTAAATTTTGATACCCTTTAGATCATAATTGCTCTTTATTTCATATATTACAGTTTCATATTTTTAATTGTATAATTTCTGCATGCCATCTTACCAGATTTAAATTGATGATCTATAATCCGGAAAAAACCCCGATTCGGAATTGCCGGAAGTCCCGACGAGTCCGGATTACAGACTTTGTACTGTATTTTATACTAACTTATTAGCATTTCAAAGTCTGATTATCATTTTGTTGCATTTTTAATAATTATATTTGAATATAAATTTGATTATGTAGGGTTAAAAAACTGTTTTTATGATAAAGAGTGTCTTTCTGTGGCCTAAGGGTAAAATTGCTGCACACGGGTAGTTCCTCTTGGAGTCAAACCCCGGCTAACTGGCTTCCGACTCCTTCAGCAAATAGCCCGGAAGTGCTTTTTACAGGGTTGCCACTCAAACAGGAGAATGAAATTCCCTGACTTTTCCAGATTTTCCAGGTGCGTTTCAAGAAAATTCCAGTCTATCCGCGTAATGTACGTTGGCTACGCTAAGAGGTAAATTATGGTATTACTTGTATTGTGTAGCAAATTCACTTAATTATTCAATAAATCCCAAAGGACATTATTTATTCTTAATTATTCTTGGTATACTTTGTTTGATAATTTTGTTTACTTTTCCACTTAAGAAACTTAATAAAATTTAAGATATATACATTGGATAACAAATGTATGTTTTATTTAATTATTACTCATGATCATCACCAGTTCAACACGAGGCTAATCCGGTCCTTATAAATCACAACGCAATGCTAAATAGTTAGGTTAGATTTTAGGTAAATTTAATTTGTGTGAGGTATGTTCTTAAAAAGCACCTTAACACTTGAAAACACAAATATAATTATAATAGTTGTTGTTTTCTCCATTGAAGATTGAGATTAGAATCTTCCCAATCTGGAATAAAATAAGGCTTTTTTTGCAGACATTCTGCAGCTAAACGAAACAAAGAAATCTATTTTAATAAATTGAGGTATTTTATATTTAGTTCGCAGCATACATAAGAAAAAATATGTGCATTAAATTTCGTGATGGTATGTCATCATACTGCTAGAATTAATTTCAAGATTATGCCAGAGAAAATTTCCTGAAATTTAGAAATATTATTTACTAATAATTAATAAATTTAGAGGGAAGAAGCATCATTAAATTATACGAATAACATAAAAATAAAGATAATTACTTAAAAATTGAATTAGAATAATCAACGATATTTTAGCGAATATAGTTATATTACATGGTTAGCCTAGATGACAGATTACTATTTTTTATTTT